ATCCCTTCTAACCTTATTATATCCTTTTTTGTCCCTTTTAAACATGAAAAAAATCCCATAAATTGTTAAACATTTGCTTTAGTTATCTCAATTAGGATTGATTTCTACTACAGTTCTAAATGCAGCAGGTGAATCAGTACGTAAAGATAAATAAAATTGCCCTAGAAATCTTAATTAGAAGCAATGGGTAGAAGAATATATCAGATCATCTCCACCTTCCCCAATTTCCTTTTACCATCATCTATCAATAAATATATTTAATAAAGATAATCTAGTTCAGTTGTCTGTTTCAATTACGATGTGACATTCGCCTACCTTATTCTTAAATGCTCTTTGTAAATTCCAATTTACAGTTACTAATGATCAATATTAATCGATCCTATGTTTGTTTAACATCATATCACGTCGTTTCGGCTTTAAAATTATTGTTTACTTGTTCTAATAATAATAATTTATATATTCTGAAAATAATAATTACAGAATTCACGCCAGTTTACAGGCATGATCAAATTGATATAATGGAATATCAGTAATGTTTGTGTGTGTATATGTTTAAAAAATAGATTGACAATACCACTACAGCGAAGAAAAAAAATTATGTTTTTGGTATTTACAGCTTGGATCAAAAAAAAATTCACAGAAAATGTAAAGGTCAACATTCAATCTCTGAAATAATTGTTATACAGTACCGGTTATAGAATATAATTTTGTGATTATATTTATATTTATACTATATTTTACGAGATATTTGCAGAATGAAATATCACTGTTTATTCTGATTATCATCTTTTTTTAATATAATATTATCGAAGAAGACCAAGTCAACATATACTACTCTCGTTTTATCGGTCATTAGAGTATATTTTTATCCTTAATTGTTTAATAAAACAACATGAGAAAGATTACTTCAAATTATGTGTATCTTTAAATGTGGTTTTCATTATTAAATTTTGTCAAGTGACAAACTGTTGAAAACCGTGTGGTTACAAGTAACTGTTTCGATTTAATATGGAACCCCTTGACGTTTTTACTATAATTTACCTATCAAGTATCGAACACAGGTACTTTACTCTCATGATGAACGTGAAGTACATAGACCATAGATATTTATTGCCAACAGCACTATGAATTATTGAATTTCAGCTCAGGAATTTTCAATGTTTTCGGGGACTTATGTTAATTCTTGTCAAAAACCAATTACAAACTAAATCCTTTTTCTAAGTCCTCTTGGACAAAAAAGTAGTCTTTCTGTATAGTATTTAAAAACTTATTGTTCTGAGCGTTAAGAAATTGACCATAAAATCCTTTTCCGGTTATTATGTAGACATAGAATTTAGTTATTTTTAAAGCTTAAAAATGTTTAATAATTTTACTATATTCATGATTTTTTAAGTAGTTGTTTATAATTTTATTAGTACAAACATTTTGGTGTCATTTCACTGATTGAGCATAAAATGCCTGATTGTTATATCAACTAATAGACATGGAACTCTCATTAAATTGAATTATATATATATATATATATATATATATATATATATATATATATATATATATATATATCAGTGTCATCAGTTTCTCTCTCTATATATATATCTATCGTTATTTAATTGAAGTAAATCTCTCTCAAGGCGGAAAAATGTTTCGGTATACTAAATAAATCTGCTATTTAAAACACTTTGCTTCTGACCTTTTTCTTTAAGTGAACATTAATCAATATATGTGTTTACGTATATCGTTTTGTCAATTTTCTGATAGATTCCATTCATTGTCCGTTTTTTCTCCTTATCAGTCGTAATTGTCACGAAATAGAACAGAGTGAACAAGTGGGCTGTAGATTCGTCCTTTAGTTTATAGATGTTCATGTTACCTAATACATTAGTGACACAAGTTAGTAAAACCTAATGTAGTTTTCTGTGTCCGTGTCAAGATTTAGTCAACCAACAGTTCATTAGGGCCGTTAAAACGTCCACGATACGTGAACAGGTTAACATTCCTAACTATTCCGCTATGTACTATTAGTTTAGATGTTGATCTAGACCAATCCTGAAGCAACATTTTGCATTCCAATGAGAAGTTCTTCTAAAACGTATTTTCATTTTGGTCATGTTTATCAGAAGACTATTTACACTTTTAAATCTAGATTCACTAGCTACTTCAGCAGTTATGCAAGTGATTAGTGTGATATTTGCATATCGATTGGTTTTTTTAAATGGTTACTTTCTTGGTATAATATCTTTTAAAAGTGGTTGACAATGAACCAATTAATTATTTTTTTTATATTGTATTCATATATGAAAACTGAAATCGGGAACCAACAAACCTATTTTGTTAATTTAATATTCATTTCAAGATGAGAAGTTCATTTTCACTTAATTCTGATTGATTAATTTCGAAAGTTTTTTTTTCTGACCTTTGTATAGTTTTACCAAGTTTCTATTTCTAGTAACTTCTATTCACTGTGTACGATTTTTTTCGTCTTCTTTTCTTAGCTCTGTCTAATTTTTCTATTTTTTCTACTATGTTTTGTATTGTTAGATGAAGTTATGGCATACATTTTAGTTAGGATACGTCTACTTGTATAGGTATGTGAGATGCAGTATTTATATAATAAAATATATAGTGATTCAGCAAATGTCTTTATTTTTAGTCCATTTACGATTGGTACATATCCGTATGTGTCTGTCCTTGTTCCATATTTTTGATGTATCAGAACTCTATACAGTTTCAATCAACAGTTTACTTTGAATTAGTTTTTGTAAAAAAAGCATTTAGCTAGTTAAAATAACCTTTTTGAAAGTATCATATCGTTTAGTAAAATAATTAACTTTTGTTCTGTACATGAGGTCTATTTTTTTGTTCAACATGATGAATTTATATTGGAACTAATATGTAATACATAAATTATGGACATTATTATATATAGATCATAAATAAAGAAATAACTTGGTGTAAATATTGTTTTTTTCGTATTTTTACCGTTAGTTATGATGGTTATATTGTGTGTTGAAACAGAGATTGATAACTATGAATATAAACTGATCTTGGAACATTTTTGTAGAATATTCAACTGTTGAATTATAAGATTTCTGGAAACCAATCAATACAATAGCGATACATTTACTTATGCTGAATTTTGACAAAGCTTTCAATCTTTCTAGTACATAGTTATCTACTAATACCAATGCATGGTCTATTACGTAGGCCTAACCACCTACTAGAACGTTTAATAATCTTGATGTATGTGATAGAAAAACTAAACATAGGCTCTACTTTAATGTGTAATCTCTGTTACTGTGTGATCTAGTTGAGGGAAAATTGGAGTTGGCTAAACTAAAATGAGAAATGAAGCCATGGAATATACCAAATTTTGTCTCGATCTGTGTTTGTAGTCGGCGTCTGTAGATTATGATCACTACAACAGTTGTGGTTTATGGTGAACATCCCGCACAATATGTTTTAAAATTAATTATTGTCGTATAAAAGCATTCATTCTTTATCTTGTTCTAGATTCTGAGTTTGATAGCTTTCTATGGCTTTTATTTCACGGATACATTAACTCTTTTATCGTCAGGTAAATCCTGTCTTTTTGAATTGTGCTTCACTTCCTAATTTTTCAGTTTATTTTTAAAAAGTGCTTTTATCGGTTTATTCCACCTCTTGTTAACTTCTATCTTACTTGTGAAAATGAAACTGCAAATCTGACTGATATACGAATCTAACATCGTCTCTTTTCAGTTTTCCGTCTATTTTTATAGATAGAAAAGTAGAATAGGCGAAGACGTGTGTGAAAAAATTCTGCTATGATTGTCACGCTTTCTTCACATAAAATTATAACTGTCAACCACATCTGTACTAATCGAAAAACATTAGAATAAGATAATATCAATACTATACACAGCTTTTTTATTCAATAGTCTACTTTACGTGTTGTATTTTAGATAAAAGGTTATATGTTATTATTTTAAATAGAATTCTAGAAGCCTAACTGAAGTGTCGAACTTTAGATAATAGGTAACATTATTTAACTAGAAAATAGTAATGGAAGATTTTAGAACCTAGTTTTCACAGCATAAGTTACTTAATTAGATTTGCTTGTACACGAACTAATGAAGGTTTCAAAAAAACAACACTGGACTGAAAATTCTATCGTCATGACTGCAACTTTACTGTCAAACATTTCAGTTCGTATGTAATTCACTAGTTTATCATTTAATACCCATCGATTTTAAGTGAGAGCTTTCTGGAAAATTACTTTTTTTTTCTATAAAAATAAATCTAGTTGTTTTAACCTTAAATTTTAAAATGGTATACAATTGTTTGTTCGCCTTATAAAATTCCCTACTATATTCATTTGCATAACTAGTAAAGTAGTCATCAAAATGAATTTGCGAATATCTGTATCCTCATATAATTGTTTACGTAATTGTATATTTCGAAACTACAAATATTGGCATAGTTGATTTTTATGAGCATAATTAATGCTGATTTTCTCCCCTTTGAGACTAATTTATTTTAAATCAATCAAGTAGCAATTGTTTTTATTGTTTCATTTATTAAGTTTCCTACTGCTCCGGTTATTTTTTGATTACAATACGACTATTTGTATCGTGTATCTAGCTCGGATGGATTATAATTAATGTTGATTCTGAGTAGTTTTAAACTTAATTAACTATATTAGAATACCACTAAAAACATAAAAACACTGCACAGGTTTTTTGCCCTTCTATATGGCTCCTCAGCAGTACCCATATATGATCTTTTGCGTGGGATTCGAACCCAGGACCCTCAGTGTTGAACATAAACGCTTAACTTCGAGATCGGTGATCCGTTGATGATATCAGTGTAATTTAACATTCTCTACAATATTATACTGACAATTATCCAACTATATTTTTCTATCTTCATTTTCGTAAATTGCTTTGACTTGGAAATAAATCTTCTGAATACTTAAAGAATAATTTGTTATTATTATGTTGTATGTTTTCTTTCCGTTTTAGGTACAGAAACTTCATCTTTTGATAAACATGCAACAGCTAACAATAACTCAAGGTTTAGTATTTGCAGTACAACACTGCCACCGAAATCTGATAATTTTGAAAGACCAAATAACTTCATGTCGTCGTCTTTATTTGAGCCGAAAGTTAATGGCATTAGTGATGGTTCCATGTTGAGTAGAAGTGATACTTACTCAAATTTAAAAGAGTGAGTTATACGTTTCATTTATACTATTGTTTATGTCATAGTTATGTCACTTTCATTGACTTCAGTTAATTTGTGCAATCATTCTGTAAACTTCAGTAGTGATTTTTTTGCTCAACGAGTGTACATTACATTGGTAATTACGAATAGGTCAATAGATGAGATTCGGTAAATAAAAAAATATAAATTTATGTATCGTTTCGTGAAAAAAACTATTCTATCTCAATCTGGTTTTCAAACATTCATGAACTAGTTAAATTTTGATAAACGTATTTTATTTTATTTATTACTTTGAACGCATAAATATTGGTATAAAGAGGCACCGATCACATATGCGCCACACAAGTAACTTGATTTGTGTGTATTACTACCCGGGTGTCCAAACCGAAGCACGTGGTTTTCCTATGGGGCCACACCCAGAGCCTTTGACCTGAAAGTCTGATCCATAAGGCAGTGAAGCAACGTCAGAAGATACAGTCCTATGGTAGCCAGTGACGACCGATTGGTTCATACGCCATTTATTCCTCTAGGGTTCTGGAGCCCATGTGCACCATTGGTTTAAAATCAGGGTTTTCAAACTCCTCTTGGTGGATCCGCCTTATTCACCAACCCTGTTAAAGCGCCGGAAATTCTCTTTTTTTCTTTTCAAATTGGTAAAGAATACCCCTGCCGCGAGACGACAGTGAGTAGGACTTCCTTGGCAGTGACTGTATACGTGTGGCCATTTGATTTAAAATAGTGCCATTAAGTTAATTTTTTAATATTTTTTTGTAGTTTCCTTTACGTCTTAGTAATCATATTTTACAATAGTAAGTTTACATCCAAAAAATGTTTCAACCAATCTGTTCACTTTTATTTCTGTTCATTAATCTTTCCAATTTTCCTATGGTATCCTTTATGACGATTTCAGTCATTGAAACAAATTTTCATAAAATAATTCACAGAGAGAATGATGATGACAATGGCAATTAGAGTTTGATACTTGATAATTAATTCTATTTGACATTCGATTCAGCAGATAAGAAGTCAATAAGTACGTCTTTATTATTCAGCTACGTTAGTAAACATGATTTTAATATATAGTTTTCTTACAATGAAGTATTCAGTGAAACATTTTATTGAAAGACAGAAGAATTAGATGATTAAAACCACTGAAATTGTTCCACTTAACTACAACTTACTCCAAAAAGCAAATATTTTTTTTCCATTCATTTCTAAACGATACAAAAAACGTGATAAGTAGACTAAAGTAAATAGTTGAATCGTAATCATCAACTTTTATTTCTATCAGATTAATTTTAAAACTTCGTTGAACCTTTGATTTTTACCTCTTATTTAATAACGGGAATAAAAGTTAAATTAATAGATGGTGACAAAATCTATGTACTTCTGTCACCGTTTTTATTACTAACATCAGGTTTCTTGTATATCTCAGTATTTATTAACTATCTGAAGTATAAAGATATATCAATTATTTTGTTAGTATCTATGATGACACTGTAATTTATAGACGACGTTTGAGCGACGCTACAGTATTCTTGAGAATGTTCATCTACTAACTAGGAATAATTAAGGGTTATAAACCAGTGTGAGGAATTAAGATTATGATTCATAGTTGATGATTAGGGCTAGGAATTAGATTTAGGGTTTTCATCACGAACTGATATTAGCTAAAATTCCAAAACTCTATTAAGTCAAATGGATGGATGAGTTTTGCGCTAAAATCCAAGATATGTTATCTTTTATCCCATCTGGTTCGTCCATAAATTATAGTCTCAACGTATCTATAATATTCAGTGTTCACTAATTCACTTATATTCCATGATCAAATATGGATGCAAACAATTAGTCAATTTTTTTTAATCGATAGATTTTGTAAACATATTCAAGTAAATTTTCATGCTACCAATTTCTATTTATCATAGTAAATATGCTCAACTTAACGTGCTTTTCTTAAAACAAAGAAATATTAAATTGTATCTAATGAATAATTAATTAACTTTTTAATAATGAACTGAAATTGTCCTTAATAGTGAAGTTTTAATTTCACAAACTAGTGAATGACCTGTAAATTTCATTTTATATAATCATTTATGTTTTAACCAACTTGTAATCATGTTTATCATTGTATCAGTTATTTTAGTTAAAAGTTGTTCCATGCTTTAATACTGTTTCTTTGGAAATTTTTTTGTTGATAATTCAATTTTTATATAAGTAGCTTTCATTCTCCTACATCTAATATCAGTTGAAACAACTGACGAAGCCTTAACATATAAGAACATGGGAAATCCCTTTGTTATACTAAACTGTTGGTCTACATAATAGTTAAGAACTTATGTTATGAAGCAAAACAAGGTTTGAATAAATCAATACTATTCAAGAAATAATAGTAATTATCATAAGAATAAAATGTTGATACAGTTTTCACAAAAACTTTGGACAATATTTAAGTGAATGAACTACGTCAGTAGACGTTTTGGTTTATATTTTACTGATGACCAACAAATGTCATTGCAATGTATACAAAAATGATGATATTGAAATATTGCTTTGAAAAGCATGTATTCGGAAACAAATAACGAAGTGTAGAATAAATATAATATCATATACACATGCATATTGTATATCTCTTACAGAAATCTAATTTATCCTATCCAATATATTGTAAACTTGATGATGAAACTAAACAAACAGTATATATTCTTGATTGTAAACATTTCATTCGGCCATACTTATGAGATTCGATATACAATAGAGCCTATAATCATGTTTAGAATCATTAGCAAAACAATGTACTGTAGAATATATATTTTTGTTATATCCCAATGAGTAGAAAAATTGTATTTCTGACGTTTCGTGACTTCATGTAAGCCAGTTCTTTAGAGTAAACAAATAACCAAATTAAATTAACACAAGTACAGTAGTGTCTTGACATAATTTTACAAAAATCAATTTAAAAATTACTAATAGATAGAATTTGTCTAGATTATTTGATTAAGAATTTCACAATGAATTAAGTAAAGATTTTCAAAAGATCATAAAATCAATCTATCATAACCCTGATATTGATTTCGATGGAAATAGTTTGGAAAATAGTTAGATTTTTTTATTATTTTATATAATTTTCCACTACCGATATTGTCTATTTTTTCATAAAAATGTAAATGTGTATAATAAAACTATTTGATAATGAATATAAAAAAATGAGTACGTTATAGCGAAATGTTCTGTTTGAAGTAGGATTTCATTCATCAATCAATATATCACCTTCAGAAATTTTAATAATCTGAATATACACAAAGTTTCTTTTTTCGTAGTTTGGGACATTTTAATAATGAATATTCATTCACTATGTAACAAAACACCTTGGTTTTTAATGTTCCATCATTCATTATCTTGTAGTGAACGAGAGCACGGGTGGGGACAATCGAATGTATTTAGCACGAAAATTACAGACTATCTGAACAAAATCTGAATACCATAAAGTCAATCGTCAATTTGCAAATTATCAATGCATCATATCAAACTGTACTGTTCAAGTTGCAAACACTAATCCATTGTCTCCCATTTCATTGTTCATGCGATTTCTTACAAATTCCATTATGTTCTTGCTCTTCTTTTCTTGATCTTCTCCATTTTCTGCTGCCAGACATTACATCCTTTTAACGCACGTCATATACTACTTATGTCAATATAAGTAGCTCACACCACAATCTAGCTGTCATTAAATTAAGTTCTTATAAAACCTAAATAAATAATTGTCTTGTACTCGCATATGATTAGAATGGAGATTTATTTTTTAGAGGACTACTAAGTATTCAATGATGATCTAGAAAATCAGCCAGGAATTAGAAATGGAACATTTATTCACAAAATACATTGAATTATATTTGAAGCAAGAGATTTCTACATGTTGACTAATTGGTATCGTGTTTATCTATGTAGATACTACAAATTGACTGGATAAACATACATTCTCCAAAAATATCCACAAGTCAATAATCGTTTATTGTTATATTTCATTAATATCTGTCTACTATACAAACTTGTTATATCGGGGGGGGACATTGATATGAGTGCTATTGATTGAGCAATTGATCGATTACTTGAACTGATTGTTGTCGAGTGATGTATACTGACAAACCTGAATGATTGATGTAATCCAATGATTAAAAGAAGTATTGGAAGATATATTTTACTGACCAGTTATTCTGAATTATTTCAGATCACGAAATCACACACATACAAAATATTTTAAATAAAATAAACATGATTGAAATTCAATTCACTTGATATTGTTTTTACTTGAATCTTCCCATTGATGTTTTTTAGGACTGAAATTGATCAGTCTCTTATTGGCATATGTGCATACTGTGCGTATGCCTCGATATTGCCTTAATTTACAAGCATTATAAGCAAAGATGGATAGTGGCTAGCAGTGGAATGCAGGACGCGCGTTTTGTCCTGTTTGGGACTCGTCAGCTGGATGTACCTGCATCTCATTTGAAGCGAACGGTACTGAGTTCCAGTCCCAGAGTGAACATCAACTCTGAGATGCAGGTACATCCAGCTGACGAGTCCCAAACAGGACGAAACGTGCGTCCTGGATTTCACTGCTAGCCACTATCCATCTTTGCTTATAATGATTGAAATTCGTTTAAAACGTCAACAGGTCTGATAGTTCATTAACAAACTCGTAAATTTAAAAAGACAGTTATTATGACTACTCATTACCCGTCATATCAAAAACGTTTTGAGATCCACTCAATTGCTTACAACATTTCTATTCGCCATAATCACATCTTAGTGTAGTGAAAGTAGTTTTCCTCATTTTAATAAATTAATTCCATTTCATACACTAAAAGCAATATTTTAAGCATTATTAGCGAACATATTCTTGACAAGTGAACTTCGTAAAATAACAATTTTTTTCTAACGATAGTGATGTAAAACAGTCAGATTTTCTTATATGTGATTGCCTGATTGAAATTTATCCGTTTCGT